ACACCCAGTCAGTGTCCACTGAGTATTGGAGAATTGCTTGGTCGTGAGGGAAAAGCCCACATGTTATAGTGTATGAAACTCAAACTGCAAAAAAACAAAGATAAAGAAAAATTTTGAAAGAAGTCAAAGGAAAAGCAACCCACCTACAGAGGAGGACAGATAAGAATTACATATGACTAGGCCTCAGAAATCACAGAAACAAGGAATATTTAAATGTTGTCATGAAATATTTAAACTGTTGAGAGAAAAAAATCCACCAGTCTAAAATTCTATATCTTATAAAATTATCCTTCAAAAAAGGAGAAATACTTTTCTCAGAAAAACAAAAATTGAGAGAATTTGTTATCAGTAAATTTAACCATGTAAGAAATGTTAAAAAGAAGTCCTTCAAAAGGAAGAAAAATGATACAGAGTCCATATAAGAAAAGAAGAGCATTCAGAGAAGAGAAAAGTGAAGTCAAAATACTTATTTTACTTATTTTTAATTGATCTAAAAGATATCAATTTATTCAAAACAATAACAATGTAATAGATGATCATGGCTTATGTATAAATGAAATGAATGACAAAAATTATAGAAGGGACAGGAGGGAGGAATTAGGAATACTTTGTGATTATAAGCTATTTGTATTATCAGTAAAGTGATCAGATGAACTTGGATTAGTTGTGAATGTGTACTGCAAACACTAGTGCAAGCACTGAAAAAAGGGGAAAAAATGGATATTGATAAAAGGAGAGGAAATGGAATTACATAAAATGCTCAACTTATTTTCCTAGTTTTATTGAGATATGAATGGCAAGTAAACATTGTATATAGTTAAGGTGTGCAATGAAATGTTTTGCATATATATATTATGGAATGACTTCCTGCAGTCAAGCTACTTAACCTAAAACTTACAAAAGACAGAAAAAGCACGTGAGAAAATTTTTAAAAGATTAACAAATAGAAAGCAGTAACAAATATAACAGATATTAATTCAAGTGTATCAAAAATTATTTTGGATATCAAGAGTATGAAAACAAAAGATTGTCAGCATGGACCAAAAAATAAATCTCATCTATATGTCGTTTATAAGAAACTCACTCAAAACATAAACATACCTATAGATTAAAAGTAAAAGGATGGAAAAAGATATACCAGGCTAAAATTAACCAAAAGAAAGTAAAAGTAACTGTATTCACATCAGGGTTCAGAGCAAAGAAAGTAATAAGGGATAAAGAAGGGCATTACATAATGAAAAAAGGGTCAAATCTACAAGAAGACATGGCAATGCACCTAACAACAGCATCAGAATATGTGAAGCAAAAATTGATAGAACCGTAAGAGGAAACAAATGAAGCCACTATTAAAGTTGGAGACTTATATTCCCCTCAATCAGAAATGGACAGATACAGCAGGCAGAAAATCAGTAAGAACATAGTTGAACTCAGCAAGATCATCAATCAACTGAATCTGATTGACATCTATAGACTACTTCTTACAACTGCAGAATATACTTTGCTTCAAGCTCACTTGGAGCATTCACCAAGATCCACTATATTCTGGGCCGTAAAACACATCTTAAATATGAAAGAATAGAAATCATAGAATATCGATCTCAGATAATAATGGAATTAACCTTGAAATCAGCAAAAAAAAAAGATAACTGGAAAACGCTCAAAGCTTGGAGATTAAATAAAACACTCCAAAAACATGAGTAGAAGAAGAAATCTCAAGAGAAATTTAGCAAAATATTTGGAACTAAATGAAATAAAAATACAACTTTTTTATTCCAAAATAAAAATTGTGCAAGTTTTTGGGTGACATAGTTAGCACAATTATTTGGTAAAAAGTATTCAAATGCAATAGAAAAGGGCACAGAAAGTTGCCTTACCTCTACCAGTGGAAGTTTTCTAGTTTATCTAGGATTCAAAAGCCATTTGGCACTACAAGCTTAAGTCTCTCACCTGTAAGACACACTAAATGAAGATCCTCACTCGCTCAGCCTTACCTTACATAGCTAAACTTAACTGCAGTTTCACTAAAGAACTTGCAGTTCCTCAAGCCGACCTGGAGCATGTATACTGTACTGTCACTTCACTGTAGTCATCTGGACCCCAACACCCTCACTCTTTCTTTTTAATTGTCCCTCTGGGTTACCATAGTATCTCAACATCGTCCTCATAAGATTACTGCTCCCACACACAGAAATCCTAATGCCTCCAGCAATAGCACAGACTATTGGAAAGAGCATATGTCCAATTAATTTAAAGGGAATAAATGAGTGAATGAGCATATTATCTAATTATTAAGATTGAATTTCTCCATAATTCTTAGGTAAGCTAAGCAAATCCAGGTATGCCATTTAATTTTACTGAACAACAGAATGAAAAAGATAAGGAAAACAGGAATCGACAATCTTTTCATTTTGTTCTGCTCTGTTTTTTGATCACAACAATTTTACTAGTGAGTTTTTCCACCTTTCCAAAGTTAACCCCTCTGACAGTGCCATGTTATCTTGTTCTGGATCAAAAATAAGTGGGAAGGTTTCCCAATTTGATTCACAATGTTTAAAAGCTCCTAAGTGTAAACTCGATGCCCATTAATAAATGTGTAAAGGTCATTCATAAACTTACAATGAGAAGCTATTTAAACCACCTGTTAGAAGGAACAGCGTTTTAAAAATAAGAGAGAGAGAAAGGAAGATCTCCAAATTACCACATAGACAGACATAAAGATGCTATTTATCTGCGGTGGAGGAAGGGCCCACCAGGGGGCCGGGATGCTCTAAGTCTGGGAAGAGCAAGTGGCATGGGCTGTCTGCTGCACTGAGAACAGAGTGCAGCCTTCAGAAGCAGCCACAGGGAAGAGCTGGCCGGCCAGTCAGCTTCTGGGGTTCGAAGGTAGGCACACTGGGGAAATCCTAAGGAAAAGGTGCTGTAATGATGGGAAGAGCTGCAGCTTGGCAATGTACCAGCTCCTGGGCAGAGTTCACTCTCAGTAAGATCCCAGGAAAATAGAACCCGACGACGATCTCCACATTTTGATTTGTTCTCAGATTTGCCATCCCCTTCAATAGGCCTCCTTTCAGTACTTCGGCTACAAGTGCCTTCTTATTGCCTGAGATACGTTTTGGAACAGCGAAAACAGAAGTGATTTTAGAGACCAGAGGTCTGCCTCGGGGTGAGAGGCAGTGAACAGTGTGGCCGCTAGACAAACTCAGACCAGGGGTCTAATCCCAGCTCTGCTACTAACCAGTCTTGTGAAGTTGAGAAAACTGCAAGTTGCTCATCTTCCAGGTGGGTGTGGTAAGCCCTATTTTAGAGTACTGTTGCAATGTGTACAGTATATATAAACCACATGGGAGATGACCAACAAATACTCCCTAACATTTAAAGAATGGCACTTCATATTATTATTTTGATCCTAAATCATACCACCAACCTCCCTTGGAATGTTTTTTTAATCCAGGAATTGTCAGTGAACGTGCAATATTCTTGCACAAAGAATACTGAATCAACCAAAAACTCTCCCTAACTAGTAAAACGAAGTAATTTTTCCCTTTAGAGCATCTGTCACTTAATTCAGGTGTGGAATTTTTTCCCCAGCTGGATACAAATAAGACTCCTAAAATTTGTGTCAATGTACAAGTCCTCCCATCCCCCCAGACACCCTTGCTTCCCGATGACCTCTATTTATATTTGCTCCCCGCTCCATGAAGGTAGCACTCCCTTGGAGCTTGCCAAATTACATTTGAGATATTCTAATTAAAATGCCCTTTTAATGGAGCAGGCTCTGGCTCTCCCAGCTCTGGGCAAATAGTGCCAGCACAGAGGCCTCTTGGCAACTCGCCTCATGGGAGTATCTCCCTTATGTCTCAGAAACTCCCTGTAGATAATGTGCACAAACACCTGGTTTGCCCGTGAACACTGTGTTCCTTCGCACTGGAGCAAGGGCAACAGACACCCTCCTTTCTTGCCCTAGGTGGCGATTTCTTTGTGGTTTACCCACAATCCCAAAGCAATCATAGCTGCAGTTTTCCACTGTAGACTGAATGTTTGTGTCCCTCACCAAAATTGGTATGTTGGTGCCCTAACCCCCAGTGTGATGGTATTTGGGAGGTAACTAGGTTTAGGTGAGGGAATGAAAATGGGGTGCCCGTGATACAGTTAGTGCTCTTGTAAGAGTAGCAAGAGAGGCCAGAAGCCCCTCTCTCTGTGCTGTGTGTGGACACATGCAGAAGGTGGACGCGGCAAGCCAGGAAGAAAAGTCTCACCAGAAACTGAGTCCATTGTCACATTCGATTGTGGACTTCCCAGTGTCTGTCGCTGTTAAAGCATAAATGCCAGTTGTCTAAGTCACCCAATCCTTTGTATTTTGTAATAGTAACCCAAGGAGACAAATGGGGTTCTGTTTAACTCCAAAGCATAGCGCCGGAAGGTGGGCATCTACTCACCAGTTCTGCAACTTGAACTAGCTCGCCACACAGTGTAAGGTAAAATTATATCCTACCGAGGACTTGCAGTTTCCGACAGTCCCGAACTGCCTTGCTCCAGAAATTCCCACTTAACTGCTCTTATAAGGAATACCCTCTTCTTTTTACTTCACCTATAGTTCATTGAGAGTATTTCAACATCTTAACTTGGATGCCTGAAGCTCAAAAGCTCTAAAGTTCTGTGAGTAGAGGCTGGATTTTCTTTATCTTAGCATGCCCAATAGTAAGAGAGTCTTCTAAGGAGCAGATACTCAATGTATGGTGAATAAAAGAACCAGTCAACATGACATCTAATTAAGTAAGATTTATTTTCTTCTTTACTGAATAAGCTATGAAAAGCAGAGTATAGATCACTTTATTTTATTAAACTAAAGACTGAAATGAACAGGTAAACTAACATTGCTCATGTTTACTTTTTTTTCTATTCCATTACCCCAACTCTTTTCCTATGGGATTCTTTTGCATTTCTAAGAATATAAGCCTAATTGTGACGTGACGTTGTATTTGGTCAGGAGGACCAAATTCTCAGACTTCAGTAGAGGTGGGGAGACCCTTCTGGGCATGGCCAGTGGTGCCAAGGTTGGCTGCAGCTCTGACTTGGGCTTTTTCTTCCTCATCTTGCACAGCTTCTTCACAAAAGGATGGGAAGGCACTGGGAATTTCTTTCTCGGTGTTCGCTATAAATTCCAGGATTTTCATCCTGCTGGTTTCAGCGTGGGCTTTGGGGCCCCACAGAAACTCACAGCGAGGGGGATCACTGCCAGGCACCTGGCGGCACTCCAGGTACTTGAGTCTCACCAAAGTTTGGGTGATGAGCTTCCTGGGTTCCCCGTAGAAGAAGTGCCTCCTCCCAGGATATATACTCATCCCCCTCAGGTGTTTCCACATGTCTTCCTCAGTAGCACAGTTGTCCTGCAAGAGGATGATACCTAGAACACGCATCACGAGACCAGTCTTTGGAAAGCCCCTGCCAGGACGCACCCTCCCATTGTTGGGGAGCTTCAATTTGCTGACCAAGTCATACGATCGTCTGGGTGAGTCACCTTCCTTCAAGTCAACAGCAAAGAGGCTCTCAATGCGCTTAGCAGTTTTCTTGAGGATCTCAGGAAATTGGTATTCATACTCTTCACCAATAATCTTCAGCATGTCTTCCTTCAGCATGGGCTGCTTCAGTTTATACCTGTGCACAAGGAAGTGCTCCAACAGGTCAATAACGTTCCTGACTAAATAACCTTTGTGTGAGCCTTCAGTTTTGAGTGGAACCTCAGCAGTCCTTGGCATATCCTGATCTTCGTCGTCGGAAGCTTCATCAGATGTAGTGTGAGTAGATGCCGTGGCGCCAGGTGGTGCTTCCTGAGGCTGCTGGCCAGTGCTACGTGGCTCAACATCAGGCAGACTCTGGAGAAGATCTTCACACTGAGGAAACGAGGAGGGAGTGGGCTCTGCTGCTGCTGCTGCTGCGGTGGCCTGAGCATGCCCACGACTCTGGGTCTCACCCTGGGCCTGCTGCTGTGTCTGGCGGCCCTGGCGCTTGCTCTTCCGACGCCGAGGCATGATGACTCTGGTCAAGGACAGCAGGCAGAAGTCTGGGCAGGCTGTGAGCAGGTAAGGATACGTGGGGGAGGGAAGATGCGAGGATGTGAGCCCCTTCAGCTGGGAGATCACCGTGGCTCTAACCAAGGCCACCTCTGCAAGTTTCCACGGGGCTCTACTCTAGGTCCCCACAGGGCTCCTGTTCTGGTCATCCTGTTCCCTGAGAACCTCACAGAGGACCTCGGAGGAAACCTGAGATGAGAGCTTGCTAGCTCCATCTGGGGTACACTGGGGTGACAGCAGAGGCTGCCAGTGGGGAGCCTCTGTTCTTGGGTGTGGGGGTGTTTTCAGTTCACAATAAGAGTGTAATGTCAGCTATTGGCAAGTCCTAGGCCCCCTCTATTCTGCTATTGTAAAGGTGCCCCAATGCCAACACCTCCCAGAGAACCAAGAGGAGCAAAAGAAGGGGTCCCTTAGCCCCTATCCCAGTCGGGGGACACCCACCTGAGAGTTAGGTGGAGCACTCTCCTTCAAGAGCCGCTCGGGTCCGCAGTTCTCGTGTAGGGTGCTTGGTCTGGCGGTACTTCCTGGTACACCTCCCGTTGGCCGACTGCTGGCAGCACCCTCACGCAAAATATCTTTTCTCCTTACGTTTAATGTAAATAAGTGAAGTTGAGCCTCAGCCTGACAGCCCTGACCTGAGGCTTCACGTTCTGAGTGCAGAGGTGGGGCTCAGAATGTTTTGTGATCTGTTCAATGGTGGACTGTCCCTCAGTCTTTCCCCGAGGCATAGCTTGGGACTCATCACCTCCTGAGAACCCCCAGGAGGATATGTGAGTCGTGGCCTGCCCCTAGACCCTCCCGCCCGTGGTCTCCAGGGCTGAGAACAGGGGATGGATTCCGTGTACCCTCATTTTGTGTGTTCTCCTCACACATCATGGTCCTCACCTAAACTCATAGAAAGGCCTGAAATCCTCCAGTTTCAGAGGACAAACCTTCCACTTTAAACACAGTCCCCCCACCACCCGGGCC